AAACCCCCCACCCCCACCTCCCTAAGATCCACACACCACTCCCCACCCCGCAAAGGCGTCATAGGCCGCTCGCCATCCGCAGCCGTGTAGTCATACACCTCCACCCTTGGCCCGAAAAGTAGAATGCCATACCCCTCGCTGACACCGGCGCGCACACCCAGTGCATACGTCAGGATATCCGCACGATGCACGACATTAGCGCGGGACCAGCGGTGGAAGGTAGCTAGATCATCGATAGCGATAGCGAGGTACGTGAGCGGTCTGCCGTGCTGCATAACAACAAGGGCTGATATATCATCCGGTTCGATAGCGTGCCAGTCCGCAGCGAACGAGTAGTGCGCCGCGGGTTTGGCTGCTTTCTTCTTCTTCTGCGGGGCTTTGGGTGGGGTATCCGGGTCAGAGTCTGGCTCTTCGGGGGACTTGAGGAGGAAGTTTATTCCGTGGTGGGCGATGGGACCGAGTGTTGTTTTGGCGATGGTGTAGCCTTGCGAGGCGGGGTAGTAGTGGTTTAGGAGGGTGAAGGTGAGGCGGTTGGCGTGGATCATGCGGGTTGTGTTTGGAGTGGTGGGGTTGAGGTAGCTGTTTTGGTAGGCGGTGGTGAATGTGTTGATTATGGGGATGTCTTGGATTGGCGTCTGGGTGTGGTCGGGTATGGTGAGGGTGGTAAGGTACGCCCATTCTTCGTCGATGGTGGGTGCTGCGCTTTCATCTGCGGTTGATGAGCTGTCGTCTGCGGCGTGAACTACTTCTTCTCCAGTCGGTGCTTCGCCAGCTGCGGAAGACTCCTGGGCGTGGATTTCGTCATTGATCGAGGACTTGTCAGGCTGGTAGAAGGCTGTGGGAGATGTTGTAGGGCTGGAATTGCCGAACCAATCCATGTTCGTACTGTCATCAGGATTGTACATAGCGGTATCTGAGAGTGTGATGTCGGTTGGTAGGGATATTGGGTCGTATTGCAGTCGGGGTATTTTGATTTCGTGGTTCAGAAGAGTGGTGTTGTGGTCAGGGAGAGCAGAGGCCAGGATATATAGTAGGTGAAAGCGAGGATGACAGTCGCTAACGCGTGACCGGGAAAACGCGAGGTGAAGTTGCCCTTGGCTTGCTCGTCTGAGTGAGGTGAAAGCGTAGCAACAATCTGTCACACGAACTCCATCTGATGTTCGGGTAATTTCGCATTGCAATCCAAACTCCATCTCTTCAACACAGAAATTGCCCAATCAATATGATGCATCGCTTTCCTCCTCTGCAGCCGGCTCATCAGCGTCTTGCACACCATCACCCGACTGCTTCTTGGCCTGTCCCTTTGCCTTTTTCTTGAGTTTCTTCTCCCTATTTCGCCGTGTTCGCTTCTCACGCCCAGCTTCTTCCTTCTCTTTGGATGCCTGCAGCTTCTTTCTGATTGCGATTCTCGTCTTCTTGCCCTTTCTCGCCCGTTTGTGCACCTTCTCATCAACTGTTGCGGGAATGATGGGCTGGGCTGCGAGCATGGCCCTGCGCGTGTCTGCAGTTGGGAGTATCCGCACCTTCCACGGCAGGGCGCATCCTGGCCACGGCTGCTTGGAGAGCTCTAACACCGCCTGTCCGTCCATGGCTGCAGCATGCAGGGCGTCATCCTCTTCACTCGTGGGGTCGTCGGCGAAATAGTAGCTTCGGGGCTTCTTGATGAACATGCTTGGCTCTGCATTGCCTGCGCCTGGCGAGGAGAGTCGAATTTTGAGTGTCTGGGGAGCGGCATTGGCGGGTGTAGCAAAGAGACGCAGCTCCGTCTCGTCGTCGTCAGTGTTGGCGGCATCATTGGCGTCGGGAAGGTCGATGTCGGTGGTGGTGAATGTGTAGGCGTTGTCGAGCCGCAAGCGCAGGCGGTCTTGCAGGTCGGGGTCGGGAGAAGAGCGTGGAGACGAGACTGGAGAGTGCAGCTCATCACGGCCAACCCTCGATCACGTCAGCATACGAACTCTTCCTGGAGATGCATTGGCATTACCGCTTGGCGCTGGATATGTCGTACATAGGGCTAGTGGTATCCCACAGCGTCGCGTCCACCGGCTATCGTGTGTGCAGCGTGGAGTTGAAGTTTTGCGTGCTAGCATGGGCTCATCTGCGGGAGATCGACGGTGCTTGGCGAGCTGTCAGTGCTGGATGGCGTGTCACTTCACGATTTGCCTCTCTTGCCCGACCGATTTTGCATCGAGCGGCCTCACTTCCCAAACGGTCCGCCTGCCGAAACTACCGGCTAGATGGACGCGTCCCTCCCAACGGGGCCAGGGTGGAGGCAGTCTAGGCCCTGTTTGGGCTTCGGAGGATTCCTGGGAGACACGCTGACTGGTGCACATGCCCATCTCGCGATGGCCTGCCTTGTCGCAGGCTCGGGTGGGGGTGCCATGCCCACATTGGTCCGCACAACGAGGATGGCCGTTGCAAGTCTGGGACGTGACATGGTCCAACCTGCTCGCTTGCAGCCTGTCTGAGATTGTTATTACTGAGCCGTGGCCTGTCTTTGTTTACTCAATCGCCTACTCCCACTGTAGCATGCCTCTTGACGGGCGCTGAAGACACGATGCTCTACTCCTACCCCGAGGCTGCCCGCGAGCGTGACCTCCATCGGTGGGTGAAATGGTGGTGACGCCATCACCATGTGCATGAGCTGACCAGGGCCCCACAGATACTACCGCCCATGGCTCAACGCGCAGAGCCTCGTCGACGCCGACGGCAGCGGCTCCAAGGGACTGACGTATGAGGGCTACCGGCCGCAGACGTCGCGCGACCGGTCGTTGACGGCCTTTGCCCAGCTCGCAGCCCTGCGCCTGGACACGCGCCGGGCCATGGTGTCGCTGATCGACTCGAACCGGCAGTACATTCTGGCAGAGGCCACACGCACCCTCGCCCTGTGCTCCCCCACGGCCGAGCGCCCCGAGGACGAGGTCTGGCTGGGCAATGCCATCCTCAACAAGACCGATGCCGTGTGCTACCACACCTTCTCCGCCACCTACACTGCCACGGAAACGAATGGCGACACCATCACCGCCGACTGCATGGTCATCCCCGACTGCCGCCTGGACCCCCGCTTTGCCGACAAAGACTATGTCAAAGGCGAGCCTGGGGTGCGGTTCTACGCAGGTGTGCCCATCACCACCAAAGCCGGAAACCGCATCGGCGTGTATGCCGTGTCAGACGAGAAGCCTCGTGCGGGGCTCACCGCGGCCGAGATGCGCTTCATGCAGGACGTGGCGGCAGCAGTCATGGAGCACCTCGAACTGGCCAAAGACCGTGACGACCGCACCAAGGGCGAGCGAATGGTCCGCGGACTGACGCAGTTCATCGAGCGTTCGACTACGCAGGACAGCCGCGACGACGGCAACCGCCCGCCAACCACAATGGAGAAACAGACGGAAAATGCACGTCTCGAAACGCTCGAAGAGGAAGGACCCGCTGCTACCGTGCTCACCGCGGCCAGCAGGCAGGCCCACCACAAGCACGAGGCCCTGTCAGATGTGGCTCGTGTCTTCCACCGCGCTGCGCGTATCATGCGCCAGAGCACCGACGCCGATGGAGTCGTCTTTTTCGATACTTCTGCAGCAGGCATCAAGCGTCACGAGTACGACGATAACAGGTCACCCGGTACCAGCGACGAAGACCCCGCCCACACCACGACGGACTTTGAGACGGGCGACTCAACCGCCACCTCACGGAGGAGAAAGCGACAGGACGTCCACTTTGACCCGACAGCTCACCTTCATACACACAGTAAGGCATGCCCTGTAGCTGGCCTATCCTTGCGCGAAGGAACCGCGGCCAGGGTCCACACTGATTTTGCCTTCACTGAAGCCGCCATGGAGCGATACATCCACCGTTATCCGTGTGGAAAGTTCTTCAACTACAGTGACGAGGGTGTGGGCTTCAACTCGTCTGATGAAAAGTCGCAGACCTCAGAGACGGACCACTCAGACCCCACCAAGCGTGAACCAACAGCGACACCCAAGAGGAGGAAAAGGAAGGAGAGATTCATCCCCACAGAATTTCTCAAAGTCTTGCCCAATGTCCGTACGCTGATCTTTCTGCCCCTGTGGGACCCTGCCTCGGAACGATGGGTTGCTGGAGGCTTCATCTGGACCACACAAGCGGGGAGATTGATGAGCCCTGAAAATGAGCTCCCCTACCTCCAAGCTTTTGGTAACAGCATCACCAGCGAAGTGGCGCGCCTGAGTGCTCAAAAGTCGGATCGTGCGAAAACCACATTCATCGCTTCCATATCTCATGAGTTACGCTCTCCACTTCATGGGATACTTGGTTCGGTCGAGTTTCTTCGAGACACGGTCTCTTCAGCCTACCAGGAGTCGCTCGTCTCGTCTATTGAGATCTGCGGCAAAACCCTGCTCGACACCATCGATCACGTTCTTGATTACGCCAAGATCAACAAGCTGCGGAACACAACACCAAGACGGAAACAGCGCGGCGAGGGCCGAAGCAAGAGATCGCCAGCTGACAATTCAATACTGGGTGTCACTGCCGACTTTGATCTTGCTCAGCTGGTTGAAGAAGTGTGCGACACCGTGTGCGCTGGTCATACGTTTCGAAAGACGCGCAACAGTCATACAGGTGGTATTTACGACCAAGCCGAGCAGACCTATTCCAATGTTATGGGAGGAGAGGAGGATGAACAGAAAAAGAACGGCGCTGTTTTGGAAGGCAGAGACACCCACGGCTCGGTGATTGTGTCGTTGATTGTGGCTCCCAATGTCAATTGGATTGTCCGCTCTCAGCCAGGCGCGTTGCGACGGATCGTCATGAACCTGCTCGGGAACGCTCTCAAATACACCGACTCGGGATTCATCGCCGTCTCCATGACACAATCCAGCAGCGGTCCCCAGCTGATTGACTTTTCTCTAACAGTAGAAGACTCGGGCCGTGGAATGTCTGCCGAGTACCAAAAGTCGAAATTGTTCGCCCCGTTTTCACAAGAAGATCCATTCTCGTCTGGAACCGGCCTCGGTCTCAGTATTGTCAAGCAGATTGTGGAATCTTTCAAGGGTGACATCGAAGTCAAGAGCACAGTCCATGTCGGCTCTCAAATCAAGGTCTCGATGCGACTTCCCAGCGGGCAGACCGAAGACGTGAAGCAGACTCATGCTCTTCTTCCCGCCTCCAACAAGCTACGCGAAACATCAGTCTGTATCAGTTGTGAACCAGACACCCGAGGCGGTGAACGTGGCGTCAAAACGAAGGAGTCGATGCATAAAGCCTGCCAGGGATTCGGAATGAAGATTGCTCAAGGCCCCAGCCCATCGATCGCTGATGTCGACTTTTTGCTAACCGACTCGCCCTCGCTCGACCAGCTACTGCGGGAACCCGGGGCGAGCCGCGTCGACAAGCCACTGCTTTGCGTGGTGTGCATCTGCACCGACACGGCGGAGAAGACGGCGGTAGAGCAGCGTCTCGGTCCGCAGATCAGCGCGCTGGGCTGGATAGCAGAGATTGTCACGCAGCCGTGAGTGCCCTCCCATCAACAACACATAACGCACAAAAAAACTAACAACCAACATAGATGCGGCCCGCGCAAACTCGCCCGCCTCCTCCTCGCCTGCCGCAAACGCGCCTCAACCCAAGAAACCGAACGCCACCTCACCCGCTCAAAAAGCACCTTCGCCGTCCCACGACACCAATCCCTCGCTCCACCAACAACCCTCATCCACCGCAGCCTAAGCGACATCCTGCAAAAGCCCTCCCCTCCCGCACTTCC